GTTCAGTCCATAAGTTAAATCCGGATCATTTGAGGTTTTGTTTATAGTTTTAAAGAGTTAATTAGGACCAAGTCATGAGGAATTTTGAGAGCTTTGAGCAGACCCAGATTAGTCGTTTAACCCTTTCCCATCACTACGCTAATCTAACCAGCTTCTTCAACATGAATGAACATGAGGTCATCCAAAGTTCAACATGTTATGAAAGTTTAATAATGCAGCTAAAAGCCTAGCACCAGCAGAAAAGTGGGTGTGCAGAACACTAGATCAATAACTGCAGGGAAATCTCACTTTAGTAACTCCAGCGTCATGGTGCCTTTAGGTTCAGCCTCCACACTTTTGCCCCAGAACTTGAGCTTTGGGTAGATAGAGCCATGAAACTCAAATTCTTTCTTCAGCGACTCGGCGTGGAAGGCACTGATGGGAGGGTGGTGGCTCACCTGCTCCGAGATCAATCTGTAGCCTTCGTCCTCCCTTAAAAAAGATGATTTGAAATAACTGGAAGACCTGAAGTATCATCATAAAGGCATAATAAAGCTTCAACCCATCCTCTCCAATACCTTGTGAGTTCATAGGTCTCCCCCAGTAAAGGATTGAAAGGCTTTCCAGTCCTCTCCCATTGAGATGCTACAGCCGAAACAGCAAATGCAGCAACAACCTGTCACAGAGACGTAATGTGAATCAGAGCCGGGCTGCAGCCACTGACAGCAAATGAAAAGTCATTTTTCAAGCAAAAATAAGAAAACAATCCCTCATTCCTGCTTTTCTAGTGTTTATTTTGGGTTTATTTTTGGTTCATGCACTTAAAAAAAAGAAAGAAAAAGACCTTTAAACAGTTCATTATTTTCCTTAGCAATGTTCAGAGGAAATGTATTTCTGGGAGAAGTTTAAATACACTGACAGTATTTTTAAAACATCACAACATCACGTGTGTGTGTTGCCTGTACCTGCATGCGGTCTATGGAGTCTGATAAACTGCAGGCTTTGTGGATGAGGTGAGTGTGCTCCATGTACTCTGAGATTCTCTGGAGAAAGCTGAGCGGCTCGTTAAACACGACCGGCATTGCTATTTTGGACAGCTCCTGTGGCAGCACAACAAAAACAATCAATCACTCTCATTCAGAAAAATAACTCAAAGGCTGACAGAAATTACCTCACTTCAAACAACTTATGCAACACATTACTTAACTTACAACAAACATACACCGGTTTTAAAAAGCAGGAGTAACAATAGCACAACATTCACATTTACAGTTCAGATGCTCATTTAATTATTTTGGTTATTTTGAAAGGACTTCCAGAAGCAAATGTAAAGACGAGTTCAGTCAAGACTGATTTTGTAACAGAAAGATTAAGTAAGCAAAAGCAGTCAGTTATTCAAAGTTGACCTGTTATGCTTTCACCTTGCTGTCAGCAAATATGGAAATTTCCCTAATATGGTCATCGCAGCTCGAGTGTGACCACAGAAGCTCTGCCCACATGGTTACAAGGAGCAGCCAATCAGAAGACAGTTGGATTAGATTTGGATTGGATTTCTAACCTAACTGTGCAAAGCAGCTCTACTAGAGTCCAAGAATAAAAATGTGAAAGTGGAAATAAGCAGAACAGGAAAATATAATCACTCCAATCCCAAATCTGACCAACCTATCTCTAATAATCAGCTATGTACCGCAGGCCCTCAAGCTGGCAGTAGTTAAACCTTCACTTAAAAAGCCATCTCTAGACCCAGCTGTCTTAGCTAATAATAGGCCAATTTCCAACCTTCCTTTCATATCAAAAATTCTTGAAAGGGTAGTTGTCAAACAGCTAACAGATTATTTGCAGAGGACTGGCTATGTACAATTTTTAGACTGTAGCTTTCTTTTCTCACAGTTTCATTTGGAGATTGTGAAAACCAGAGATGACATAATAGGGACACAGCTAGAAACTAGTAGAAACCTATAGGCTAAATCAGATATCTCACCCCTGCCCCTAAAGACAGCTGAACCAGGATTTATATGAGCACATTGTGTTGCTGCACCAATGCATGCACACAGCTTAAGTTCACAATAGTAATGGGACATATTTCCACTTGATAGTGCAGTAAAGCCATTGGTCGAGTACTTTTTCTTTTCTTTCTGTAGTCATTAGTAATTACAACTACAGGTACTGACACTCTGGACAGACCATTAATGAAGCTATAATATGATGCAACTTTGTGTATAAGTATTTCATGTCACAGTGACCACAGAAACGAAAAGCACCCACCAATATTACTGGAGACAGACATGAGTTTGGTAGGACTCACCATGCCGATGCATTTCTTCAGAATATTCCAAACACTGAAGTTATTTCTGGAGATCATTTCAGCTGGAAGCTTTTTCCTGGATCGAATAAGAAAAACAATATTAAGCAACAAAAACTGTTTTAATAGATATCAAGGCCATTATCAATTCTGCTTAGAGCTCATATTTCTCAGTAGTTCTCTTATTGATTCCTAAACAATTTTCTGTTTGGAAAAAATAAGGCTATAAAGCTTTTCAGCACCAACGTGTCTTTTATTGCCAGAGTGTGAACACAGTAGATAAAGACTGAGGAGTGCAAATATTCTGATGTAATGAGTTTGACAGTTGTTTCCTAATGTGAAGCATGCAGGTATTTATAGAGGCAACTTGCAACCTGCTTTTCATCGCTGCACCAGCAGCAACTCCAAATGCTCTGCAGAGGAAGCGTTTGTAAGCTGACAGTTTAAAAATGTGGTTGCAATGCTCTCTGCTCAGTACCATGAGCGTTCCTTCAAAGGGACTGACAGAAAAATAAATGACCCAGCATACAGTATCACATACACACACACACACGCGACAAAAACAACTCTGTGTCTTGAGCCAACATGTTTACCATTACAGCAATTGCTCAGGTGCCAGTCAGACTCACAGCCTGACAAATATGTTTTTGGTGTTCTCTCCCTGCAAAGGAACTGGTCAAATACTTGTTTTTTTTAATATCAGGCTATTTACAGCAGTTCACAGAGGAGGGGACTGGAGAAACTCTTTTGCTAAGACCTTTGATAAAAAGTTATGCTAGCATGCTGACATTACCTCTTATTCCAAAATATATGCAGGGCGGACAGCTCAGTTCAATTTCAATTCAATTTTATTTATATAGCGCCAAATCACAACAACAGTCGCCTCAAGGCGCTTTACTTAACTTTGGCTCTTGGCGAAGGCAGTCGCACTTTTCTCCTCTCCCTTCCCTTATCTTCCCTGCTTAGCGTCTTGTGCCCTTGGCTAGTCTCATCAATTTTCTTACGCTTTCCCTGGAACACTCTCTCACAGTCTGTTCTCTAAAACCTAAAAGAGGAATTATGGATTTGATCCCTGAATACAACTGACACCCTCTTCTCAACGAGAAGCCTGGGCTCGGGTGAGCCTGAGTGTCCTGGAGGTACTTTCCCTGCCGGATACATGATGGACGGGTACCATAAGTGGAGGATCGTGTGCCTGGCGAGACTGTCGATCGAAGACATCGAAGACATCTACCTGTTCGGAACCATGATAACAGGGTTCTTGCTGATCGGAGCTGGCTTGGCCCTAGCTTATCGAAGATTAAAGAAAGTGGAATTGGCTGTTCAAAACCCCACAAGGCTGCCCGCTGTGATTGAAACGGTTGGACGAGTCGTGAGTTCTCAAAATGGGCTCATTGAACGCAGCACGGATAAGTTCTTGGAGAAGTCTGAGGCTGCCGTGAACACTCAGAATAAGGCCGCTGAGCGAAAATTGGATAACATCTTGGAGAAGCTCATGGCGGTCTTGAGTTCTCAGAATCTGCTCTTTGAGCGCAAGACTGATGACATCATGGAGTGCAAGATGGATAACATCGTGGAGAAGCTCACGGCTCTCCAACGGGAGTTTGAGAGACCAGTGTCGGACTGCTAGAACAGCTTTGAAATTCACATGAGTTGTTTGCACTAAAGTAAAAACCACCAATTTCATGCGGCTACCACTTTGGCGCCAGCTGTGGTCTCAAGGCTGGAGCTGAACAAAAACACCCTGATAACTGACTGTGCATAGACTGTTTCTTCCTATCATAAGAAAGGCCACCTGGGTTGGCTGGAAGACTGTTTACTAAGCCTGGCAGGGCGAAGGACACTGTCTCAGCTGAACTCTGGACACACACAGACATATATACACATGCAGGTATACACTCATCCCCCCTCCCCTTCCAAACGCCTTCAACGCTTATTCCCTCCCGATGCAGACGGTGGATCAAAGGGGACCAGCGCATATGCTGCAGGCCCAGATGCGCTGTCTACACGGGCTGTCTCTCACATTTTACTCATCCCTGTTGCTTGTCATATGTTTCTATGGTGTATTGACAGTCATGTGCTTTTTGTGCCGGGGTGGTTTTTTTCTGCTCTCAAACTGTTCTCCCATTAACAGCTCAATCTGAGTGGAGTTTTTTTCTCCTCCTCTCACCTCGTGTTATGTATTTTCATTGTTTTTTTCCTATCAGCCTACCTCTCTGACATGCCTCCCAATGTGATGTCTGTGTAAAGATTAGTCAGAGGGTTTCTTTGTAAGTGCGCATGTGCCATTAGCGTGCTGCCTGCTGTAACCTATAATTTCCTTTGGGATTAATTCTATTCTGATTCTGATTTATATTGTACATTATACCCTATAATAATAGATACAGAGAAAAACCCAACAATCATATGACCCCCCCTATGAGCAAGCACTGTGGCGACAGTGGGAAGGAAAAACTCCCTTTTAACAGGAAGAAAGCTCCAGCAGAACCAGGCTCAGGGAGGGGCGGGGCCATCTGCTGCAACCGGTTGGGGTGAGAGAAGGAAGACAGGATAAAGACATGTGGAAGAGAGATTGTCAGAAAGACAATCATACCAACAGATCATTTCTAATCACTAATTACCAAAACCTAACATTCATGTCTTTGGGAGGAAGCTTTAATACAAGATGGGAGCATGCTAACTCCACATGACCATCCACCTCTGGAACATCTACTGCAGAGGTGTCCAGAGACCTTCTGGCAGAGGACAGCGATGGCAGAGTTGGTAGAGCAGACAAAACCAATTGCAGCCACTGTGGTTGATGTGATCTTCTCTAAACTATTTTAATCTAATCTGTCACACTCAAATAAAGCACCTCTGGCAACATTATTCACACTCGGTCAGCTGATACAGAGGATGCCCAATCTTCTGCATGATGCAAAATGCCACAAATTTCAGTTAATTTAAAATATGCTTGATTTTTTGAAGAATATAATTCACAGTTTTAAATTACTCTTAAATACACACATAATTTCTTTTATCGTCTGAGGTTATAACTGTCCTCCGAATTTTTTTCTCCAGTTTGAATATCTATTAGTAAAATTAGTTGTCAGTACAATGCTTTTTATGTTAATATAACATTAGTGGACATTGGTACTAACATGCATTACATGGAATATGTAATACACAACTGGCAGGTGATATATGGGTATTGGTTTAATTTAGAGATGCAACACTATTCTTTCAAATAATATCCCCTTGTTTTCTGATTTAATGAGTGTTTTAATACAAAGTAGCTCCCAAATCGTGCACCCAAACATCCATCCATCCATCCATCCATCCATTCGCTTCCGCTTATCCTTTTCAGGGTCGCGGGGGGCGCTGGAGCCTATCCCAGCTGTCATAGGGCGAGAGGCGGGGTACACCCTGGACAGGTCGCCAGTCTGTCGCAGGGCCAACACACAGGGACAGACAACCATTCGCACTCACATTCACTCGCACATTCACACCTAGTGGCAATTTGGATTCTCCAATTAACCTATGCACCCAAACATCAATATTGTAAATACACAAAAAAAAAATAGTGAATGACATTTGACATATGACATATCAACAGCCCTAACTAATAGTGAGGGGAAGAGAATTTGGGAAGAAGTGAAACTGATCACTTTTACCACCTAAAGAAAAAGAAAACAGGCAATTTAAACCACCGATGTCGTGGCTTCAGCTGGACTCAGGATGTCAACAGCCTTCAGCTCGAGTGTGTCATTAATAGAGAACAACTAATGCTAACATGGTGGCAAGCAATTTAAAGAGGCAAGAAGAAACCAAGCATCCATTCTGCGAGAGACTTTGCCTACTGTGAAAGAGCACAGTATCTGAACCACAGGCAGCAATAACATTTGTTTGACTGTGTAAAAAGTGTCTGATAAGGAGGTGGATGCACGTTATAGTTCACCTCATTATAGTCTGTGAATACACGCAAACCTTGGAATCTTGGTTTTCTCTCTTTTCCTTTTGAAAATTACTAAATATGTATATATTCAAGGATTCCAAGGTGTTCAATGTCATTCTAACACATGTATTCACATGAGGTGAAACAAAATTGTGCACCTAGGTTCCGTGTAAAAGCCAACAGAACACAAAAGAGCAATACAGGAAAAAGGGAAAAGAAAAAGTATATACAGTGTCAGTAGAAATAAGACCATTTTCTAAAAATAATCAATTTGTGTGCAGTGGAAAGACAAGTGGCTTCACATGTCTGTTTCCTCTGGCTGGGAGCAGCAGAGACTACAGAGCACCACCAGAGTTCAACCGTCTTGCAGCCTGAAGAAGAAGCTGTTCCTCAGTCTGGTGGTTCTGCAATTGATGCTCCGCAACATCCAGCCTGAGGGGAGTGGGACAAACAGTCTGTTTCCTGGGTAAGTAGGGTCTTTCAAGACAGAGAGGCCCTTTTCTTGCTAGTCTAGATGTTTGTGGTGACGGTGGTCTGGGGGCTGCTGCCAACAATGCTCTGTGGAGCTTTCACCACCCTCTGCAGAGCCTTTCTCTCTACCACAAAGCATAACATCCCACAGTGATGCAGGAGCACGGGACACTCTTCACCACACATCTCTAAGTTCAGAACTCATGATAGATCATCTGTCTCCATCTTACTCTATCTCTAGCACCCTCTTCTCACACACCAACCTTTTCACTTTTGCTGCTATCCTTCTGTCATAAATCACCCCAACACTTGTCTCCTCTCCTAACTACCTACAAACTCCTTTTCACCTCTCTTATGCACTGCCCATTGCTTTAAATGGTTGGCCCCAGGTACTTGTGCACCTTCACTCTGTTTGCTCCTTGCAGCCTCACTAAATTTCACTACTCTTTTCTCTAAAGCATACCTCCACCTCTACAGGTACTTTTCCACCTGCTCCCACTCTCACTACAGATCACAATATCATCTGCAAACATCATAGCATCAGGGAGACTCCTTTATCAATCTCCATCACTCCTGCTTTAACCTTTCAGAGGATCGAGGTGATCACTCAGAACAGCTCTGTGTCAATGAAGTGATTATGTTTTTCCGTAATTATTCCCCGCGTGTGCACGGCCCCTCACCTGCGCTCCCACACTCCATTCTCCTGTGTGGCATCTTTAAAGCTGACCTCGCAGGAATCATCTGACTCCAACCCTGGGGATGATGAGCAAGAGCGGGAGTAGAAGGAGGAAACAAAGTAAGTATACAGGGACAAGAAATAACTATATATAATTAACTAATTTGGGCCTTCGTCGACATTTCTCACCTGTCTCAGCGTCGAAAAACTCCTCCTCGCTGTTCATACTGAGCAGACAAAGTAGCTGCAGGTTACTCAGAAGTCATGTTTCCACCGTTGGCCTGTCCCTGGAGCCCAGCCTCCCTCCGAGCATCACAGACAGCAGCACCCACCACCTACAACGACACCGGCAGCGTCAACACCAAGCGCATGAGTAATGTAATCAAAACAAAAACAGCTTCCTCTCTGGCTGTCAGCCGCCGTGCTCCTCTAAAAAAGCCATTAGTTAGCTTTAAGACTAGCTAACGAGCCCTTAGCATCGCTGCTGCAGATGGTGTAAATGTCCGCTGGGCAAAAAATGATGTAACAACATCAACACAGTCAACAACAAACCACAGCCGACACTGACACGGACATTTAAACACAGCTCAGTCACATATACCTGTGAGTTCAGGTAAAATTAATGCTCCGGTAAAATAAACAACCGAGGACTGTGGTGCCAGTGGAAGTAGGCGGAAGTGGGCAGCAAGGACACCACGATTGGCAGGTTCGTCAGCCAATCAGAGCGCAGGATGCAGAGGTCCAGAAAATAAAGGGCAAAGAGCAAACGTGGGGTCCAAAGGCTATTTTTGCATATAACCAATAATGTGACATTAAAAAAGGCAACACTGGGCTCAGGCTGGATGGACCAGACTCTTTAAATGTTAATATTAATATGTGTTAAGTGATTATTATAAGTTTATTATTTTATTTTATTTATACCAGTAACACAGGCGCACATAGAAGCTAAAGGGTTTGTAATCGCAAGTTTAAAATGACCAAGACTTACTAAATATTTAAATAAATCTGCAGTTGTTTATATGCATGCAAATTATTAGGCTGCATTATTAAACTGTACCTTAATTTGTACATTTTATACGATCTTTAGCTTTTAATACAGGTGCAAATTCACCCCTGACATGGAGATAAATAATGGATTGATGAGTTTGTGGTAACATCCTGAGGCAATCTTAGTTCATGTACATTTTGTGTGGTTGGAATGATGGATGGGTGGTTTATTATAGTGTAACATTGAAGTGCAGGTAAAAAATATATCGAAAGATGAAATATCAACGGGTTGTTTAAAATTTTTAGATGTTTCTTTTGTTTTTATTTGTTTTTAACATTGTGGAATTTTCTTTTAGGTTTTCTTTTAATTTTCTTTTAAGCTTTCTTGCCTGAAATTTTTTTTTAGCAGGAAAAAGAAAAATCAGTGTTATTTTGTGCTACAAACTAAGTGCTAGTTTTCATTTTTTAATTGCTGAAATATTACATTTTATCCAATAATTAGACTATAAATCTATATTAATTCAACCAAATCATTAAGGAATATGGTTTCATTGTGTCAGCCCTGTGATATAAAGCCTACATTTCCACATGCCACTGAATTTCTTATAAAGCACCCACTTAAGATATTTAATTGATTCACGTTGAGATGATAAAATGCAGTGGGGCAGTATGGAAGCCCATCAATAAATGGCAAAGAGTTCATTCTCTTTAATAAGCCTTTAAGTGCACATAAATGTTAAGTCATTATTACAATAAATTGTTGTAAATGCATTGTGGTGCAGATGCACTTTAGCGTTTGTGCAGAAGGTAAGATCAGTATGTCTGTGTAGCTTCTCAGCCATCCAGTTCATTGTAGTCTAAGGAGCTTGGACTGAATTCTTGAGGAAATGTCACCTCCCATCCAAGAGGGTTCTCCATGTTAAGTCATTATTATAAAAATTGTTGTAAATGGATTGCAGTGCACCAAGAAGCCTCTTGAATGCTTGGATAAGAAGTGAAACATCTAAAAGTAATTTAAAGAAGTCCAGTTGCTTTCTTCGCAAGCTCCTTAGAAGGTAAGATCAGCTCTTCCTGAACACTGAAGATTAAAAAAGAAAAAATTTATTTTTCACAACCTGACAACCCAGATGTTCTTATAATGGTTCACAAAGCACTAGTAAATGATTCATAACCCATTAACGCTATCACTGAAAAATGTAGCAGAAAAAGAGCTGCTTATGTAGTCAGCTGAAAAGCAGGTGGTTTTGACACTTGACTTGATGGAAGCATTATCAACATTATCTTAAGAGCCACCTATTTTTTTGTGCCTGTTCTGTGATGGGTGTCTTCATGGACATCACCACCCTGCATCTCCACTCATCCACTCCTGTATCCAGAGAGCAAAGGTGTGACAGAGGTGTGGAAGGATGATGGGGGAGGAACCGGACTGTTTGGTTATTATAACAGCTGGTTAATAGTATAATAGCTGCCCGATGAAGATTTAGGTTGTTGTTAGCTGGAAGAGGAAACATCTCATGTCCGTTACAAACCACAAAGACCTGCCTGTGGTCCTTTCAAACACAGCTCCATTATCCACAAGGTGGCAGCTTTACACAAACATTCCTCTTGCTTTATTCATTCTGCTAATTTTTTATTTTATTTTTGCAGACACTGGCCAATATTTCAAAAATAAATTTCAGTTTAAAACTAAATACGTATTAAATTAGAGCAACACTACACAGAGGGGAATTGTGCAAACATCCTTCTAAAGGGGAGACCTGTTATGTTTGAACTTATTTTCTGTAATATATACAATGGAAGATGAAATGCTAAGCAAGGTTTAAAATAATGAGGTACAAGAAATCCTTGTGAGCCACAAAACTCGGGCTTCATCTGAGCTAAATGCTCTATTTCAGGCATTTTGTTCTACTCCTTGCTCTGTTTTATTTTTCAGCAGCACCACCTACTGTTCTAACCCTGTGTATGGCATGCAAGGTGCAGCCAATCAAAAGAAAGCTGGCTGAAAAGCAGATGAGCTGAACTGAATTGATGCGAATAGAGCATCATTGAGGAGCTGCAAAAATACCTGTTGCATATAAAAAGATTATTATGAGCTAAAACATGCAAATGTAGTCTGGTAGAGGCGGATAAAAAATGTAACTGGGAATTAAGATCATTCATTCATAGTAGTAGTCGGTTAGTTGGGTTAATTGCTTGTCAGATTTCCAGAAGGAGAAAGTGGAAGCCAAGGGAGAGAAAACAGCTTAAGAATCAAAGCGAGACCGGAAAACCGTCAGAATAAAAGCCTCCAAACTGCCTCTCTACATCAGGCGTATGGGATGATAACAGTATGATAGAAATATGAAAACACAAGGTAACAAACGCTTAAAATTGTATCTTTTGAATGGAAATTTACAAAATAAACTTAATCATTTATAATCCTAGGCCTACACAATATTTTTAATATCGGATTTGTTTTCAAATTCGTGCTGGTTTGTAGCCACAGTTGAATGTTCTGGGAGAGTGTGTGTAGAATAAACATAATATGTACGCTGACCAAGATGAATAGAGAAAAAAAAGAAAAAAGCAGAGAAAACGACCGGAAGTCCGTTCTAAGCTGCGGTAACGTGACACTGTGACTTCTTCTGTGAGTGCGCTTTGGCAAAGTTTCAGTGCTGAGGATGCAGAGCAGCTAGTCGGGTCTTCAGAGTCTGTGAGCTGTGACTTTTGATATTTTAACACTAGTTTAAAACTGTAATGATCATCTTAGATTTTCTGTTTAAAAGCTAAAGAGAAAATGACGAACAAAGACGGCGATAAAAGCCTGAAGACTGCGCTCCGCAGCCAGAAACAAGCCAGGGCGCACCAGGAGAAGAAGGATCCATCCTCCAATGATGGCTCCTCTTCAAAGGAGGCACAATTCACGGGTCAGTGCGACCCTGTGAAGGAGGTAAAAACTGCGGGACCGCAGGGAAAGAGAGCAGGGAAAGTGTCATCAGGTGTCAGCTCCGAGTGCCAGAGGAGCCCCGGCGCACAGAGGAAACTCTCCGACGCCAGCAACACTTCAGAGGATTTGAGCAAAGACTCCGGCTGCCTGTCGGGGAAACTGTCCTCCTCGGACAGCAGCTCGGAAATCTCCGACTGCCCGTTGGACGGTAACAAGCACGACTCTGACTTAAGCTGGATAGACGGCAAAGCTTACATGACCCCGGATAGCGAGGGCGCAGGCGACGGCAAACCGTGCGCAAAAGCGGCGAGAGATATCTGCGCTCTCCAGGCGGAGGCTGCCGCAGGGGGCTTTAGTTTGTTCAACTCCTCGGGGGCGTTTATGAATCTTATGATGGGGGAAACAACTGAAGACCTCGTCAGGGAATTGGAAGATCTGAGATCAGAGAACGAGTATTTGAAAGTAAGTTTGATCCAATTTGATTAATTAAATTAGCTTAATGCAATTAGCGAATTCAATTTGGTTTTCACGAAATGCAGCATCTACCTTTCTGTATAAACTCCGTGCATGTAGGTTTTGCTTGTTTATGAGAGCCTGTGAGTTTCTGTGGGAGGACCCTCAGCTCAACACCAGAGCCGATTTTCTGCAAATGTTTAGATCAGGCCAGTCTTCTTTAGTGAGCGCAGGGCAAGTGGCTCTAATACAAGAGTCAAAAGTCACTACTGACCTTAATAAATTATGGAACAAACTCACACTTACTCAGATTTTTACAGTAGCTGAGTAACTGCTGACTGAGCTGGTGATTAGATGAGTAACTCCTGACTGCAAGGGCATTTTATTGGCCCAACTGAGGAAATTACTCTGTAACTTGATGCAGCAGATCACCAGTTTGCAGGAATATGTCTGGAAACTGGGGTTTGATTATAAATTGGTGGTTGCAGAGTTTTGTTAGTGGAGTACTGCTGAGCAACTCCATCTACAAGCCCAATGGTAATGTCTGTTTTCCACTTTCACCTTTAAAGGGATGATCCACTTATTCAGAGCTGTACCTTGATAAAGAAAGGTCATAATCGAAGCTGCTGATGTCCAGATATTCAGACTTTCTGAGTGTGAGTCAAGCTTTCTGAGAAAATGTTTCATGACTCAGAATATGAAACAACATGTACAAAAAATAGCCCCAAATCCCTCTTTCTGCCCTAGATGCTCATTTCTGTGACATAACTTCACCTTGTAAGTGCATATTCAAACTGTGGTCATTAAAGTAATCAGACACTTTGAAGGGTTTGTACAAAGCACAAAATGGCCATTTAGGCATCAAACTGGAAAATATATCAGTTAGAGCTTAAGTCATAAATCAGTTAGTTAGGCTAATATTAGCCAATATGTTTTTTTTTAATGAATATGTGTACAAAAATATTTTTTAAGTAATTTATACATGTCATCAACCCGTAGTTTGTCCAGTAGATAAGATCTTATTGTTTATAACACTCGAAGCATTGCTTGCAGCACATGTAGCAGAGTAGCATCCCAGCGGAGTAAAGAGTCAATCCATGTTTCACTTAGTTGTTTTCATGAGTCTCTAATGCCACCATAACACCTGGATTTAAGTTAACGGGAAAAATGGGAAAATATAACTTTCTGATATTTACAGTGCAAAAGTCTGGAACCTCATTTATTTATATTTTGCCTCTAAGTAGCCAGACATTCATGTAACGTTTTTCTTTGGACATTGGCTGCTTTTTTCTCTCAATTGTAGTCCAGTTCTTGTACCTGAGCATTT